TTTTACAATTCCACCATCAATGACTAAGAATTTTACTCTCTCTACAACCTTGTCAGCATTTCTTATTTTCTGTTTTTGGTCATTGCCACTTTTGCAGGATGAGATGGTTATCTCATCTCTTTAATGGCTGATGATTATGAGCATCTTTTCAAGAGTTTGTTGACTGCCTAAATGTCTTCTTCGATGAAGAGTCTGTTCATGTCTTTTGCAAAGATCTTCATATTCTGAAGAGCTGATTAACTCCAGGCACAGGTGGAATCATTTATCTTTGAAACGCTGCTTCTCTTTGGTTGGGAAAATTAAGATGAAGAATGTGATGGTTAGGGTTTTGTTTCAAACTGACTAGGCCAGGATTTCCAAAGGTTTAGCAGGTGAGATGTGCTTATTCCCATGGTGATGAAACCTAATACAGGTATTGTTAGCTCCATGGTGAGTGACTACAAACAGCCAATCAGTTGAAGGGATGCTTCCTTGAGGGTGTGGCCTGCTAATATAATGGATACACAGGAGGGACTCTCTCTCTCTCCTCTGCTTGGGACCTGGGACTATAATTGTAAGCCATTTCCTTAATAATAAACTTCTATGTACATATATATATGTTTCACTGGTTTTGTTTCTCTAGAAAACCCGGCCTAAGACATTTGGTACTGAAAGAGTGGGGTTCTAGAGAAACAAAATCATGAGTTTTCTAAATTGGTTCTAAAATCTGACTAATTTTAAAGGCACTGATATCGGGTGGAGGCATGTCTGACCTCTACTTCATAGGAATCAGCCCAAGGCTTACTTCAAATTTCATTAGTTATGAGAACTTGAACACATTTTACAGATGAGAAAAATAGATGTCATAATGATTGAGATATATGTACTGAATTTAGAACAGTGCCTGGAACTTTGTAGGTAATCAATAACTTAGTTACCATTCTTCACTATTTTCCTGTAGGTCTATCAATATTCCATTTCAAAACCATGCAAGTAATTCCAGTCCTTATAATGTTTAATTTATGCCTTGTTGCTGTTGTTGTTAAGTGCATAGACTTCATTCCAACTCATAGTGACCCAGTATAAGGTTTCCAAGGAGCAGTTGGTGGGTTTGAATTACCTACCTTGTGGTTTGCAGTACAGCGCTTATCCTATAGCACCACACCAGGACTCATCAATTTATGTCTGAGTAGCATAAAAGATGGCACTTAACAACAAGCATAAGACAGTCTTTGTTGTCTTTGTTTGGCAGTCCGCCATAGTCCCTGAGCATCCCTGCATGTTCTTACCGAGTACTGACTGCTCTTTATCCAGACCATTTCACTGGACTTTATTTGCAATGAGCAATTTGTGGATGACGTAATGTCTCCCTCTGGACAAAGAATAGACTCACTTCTGCTTACTTTAAAAGTGGTGAATCTCCCAAACTGTGTTCTTCACTTAGAACAAAACCCGCTGTGTGTGCAGACCTTCATCAAGAGCTCTTAGTAACTAGATCCAGAGGGTGTGGAGGAAGGTAGACTCTCCACTGAGTAATATCCAATCTGTCTGGATGGGGCTGATGAAAGGAGATGGGGATAGGTCTCTGTGGTACAATAGTGAATAATTGCTATCAGGACTGACTGTGAGGGTGGGATATGTAAAGGTAGGCGTTTTGTAGCAAAAGGTGGGGAGTGATTGATGTTTCAGGCCAGGAGCAGAGGTCCCTGGGACCATCAAGGGAGAAGAGTGGAGTGTGGGACTCTACCCAGAGAAGCAGTGATGCCGGGGATGGAGGCAGAGATGATGACATGGAGAGATGGAGTGGCTGGGGACTCTAGACCCAGAGAGGGAGAGGGGCAGTGTGCTGATGACCGGGGCACACGCTTGCAGGGTATACCCTTTGGTTGGCTGATGATGCATGGAGACTGTAACCATGGCAATGTAATGATATACGATAGGATGAGTGTAAAGCTAATGTTCTCCCATGTAAACTACCACATAATTCACAATAAAAACACTAAAAAAAAAAAAAAAGAGCTCTTAATGATATCATAGTGTTGGGAAATATAGGAGAATGACACAAACCAACACTGAAACGCTGGCTACTATATAATCCTTTGTCTCTGACCCAGGAGTTTCATGTCTTCTGTTAGCACCACATGCAACCTTAGCAGGTTAATTGCTAGCTTGTAAGGCAAAATCTCAGTTCCTGCATGATTCTTAGCAGTTCTGACAGAGGATAGGATGCTGACATAGCCAGTATTTTCCAGAAAAGGCAGGTGTAGTAGATATGACAGGACTCCTAGAATCCAGGAATGAATGCTCTTGCTCAAGTTGGGAAAAGAGGATGAGATAGGGGTAACTTACTACCATGTGCATTACTGTTTAGAGGCTAAGCAGTCAGAGGTAAGACTAAAACAAGCTACCCAAATAGTACATTGGGTGTTGGTCATTCAGCTCTGATGGAAGGATATCTTCATGACAATGAAGCAGAAAGCTCTAAGACCATAGGAAAATTTGGCTATGATTGCTATGGCATAGGAGCAGCTCTGTCCTGCCACATCCCTTGATGCCTCCCTCACCCTCTAGCCTGACTTCAGCTACTTTAAGTGAAAAGAAAAAAGACCCCAAAACTTTGGATACGTGACTAAAATGTTCACAGCTGTTAGAAATACATGTCCAAGTCACAATTCTACCCCGTCATGGGAAAAGGCATGGGTGGCCAAAGGCACTGATGGCTATCAGGCACTGAGGAGTTGCAGTGGTATATATGGGAAGGGAGGAAACAAAAAGAAAGATCTTAAACCTAGGTGCTCTCGAGACACTGGGAAGAGAATAGCAGAGAAGCTGACACCAATCTGGAAGAGCAAAAAAAGAAAATCTTCTTGAATGCCTCCTTTTTCTCCTTTCTGAGCTCCCAGTCAGGTAAATAACATAATTTCCTGAGAGCAGTTTTATACCTTAATACACAGGTAATAAACTTCTTGGTCCATGTCCCCAGAGTGGGAAAATTCAACTCACAGGGTTGGAGTAAAACTTGCAGTGAAGAAAAGATGACCTCGTCGGTGGGTCACAATGACTACTGACATGGAAATACATTATAGGTATTGTTGTGTTATGTATTTGTTCTGTAAATGCTTATAAGTTGTCAAAGGGCATTCTCCAATTCAGAATATTATGACATGTATTTAAATGAGACAAACTCCCTCCCATCTGTTACAAGTGTTTTAATGTCCGAAGTCTTCAGTATATAGATGAACTGTTGGTTAAGTCAGAAGTCTGTCTCAGCAGCCTTGTCTGTAGTGTCATTATACGTCCACCAATAGGGATGGCTAGTTAACTTAGAAGGAAAAAAAGTCAAGACTCTGCTTGCCAAGTAAAGTTTCTTAAGACTATTTTGAACAGATTCACAGCATTCAATTCTACTTGAAAACAAATGTCAACTCCTATTTCTTTGGTCCCCAACAACCAAAAAGGAGACCCATACTTTGGTCATGTTATCAGGAGGGACTAGTCCCTGGAAAAGGACATCATGCTTGGTAAAGTAGAGGGTCAGTGAAAAAGAGGAAGATGTCCAATGAGATGGATTGACACAATGACAGCAACAATAGGCTCAAATATAACCATTATGAGGATGGCACAAGACTGGGCAGTGTTTCATTCTGTTGTACACAGGGTCACTATGAGTCGGGACCAATTCAACAGCACCTAATAACACCACTATCACCTTATCAACACTGAATAATGTACATGATGTTATTAATAGGTGAGAGCATGTACAAATACATGGGGCCAACACAACCTTGTTTCAATCTGACTGTTTTTCTTAGTGTTTGGTCTTAGATTATTACATGTATGGCAATTGAGGCTACAACTACTCAGTGATATTATCCATGTGACTTAATCAAACTTACATAATGGTGATCTAAATCAGGTCCAACAAGAGCGACCTGCGACCTCCAGGAATCCTGGTATGGTTCTGTGTGATAAAACACTGGAATGCAAGGTCGGTTTGAACCACAAAGGTAGGTGGTTCACTCACCAGCTGCTCCTTGGAAACCCTATACAGGGTCGCTGAGTTGGAACTGACTCTATGGCACTTAACAACATATGAGAAAACAGGCACAGACTGTCTCTCCATTGGGCACGGTGGTTGATTTTTTGACTATCAACTGTCCCATGTAATTACTGTTAATGACACCAAAGATCAGCAGTTCAGTCAAAGCTTCCTTGTATGTATCATAACAGAAAATAAACTGGACTTAAAACTACATCCTGGATGCTTAATAAAAATACCTATTGGTTCCTCCTTGGGAATGAATCCAGTATACTGAAGAACCACAGAACAGTATTACAGATTACCTTCTGTAGTATCTGCTTAGAGTCCTGTTGAAAGTTGCCTTAATAAACTGTTCAACATGAGACCAACTGAATGACCCTGATAGTGACAAAACAACCTCAATCGATCAGATTAATCAGAATGGTCAATGGAGTAGCATATTTATAGGAAAATTCAAGTTCAATCAAGAAAATGTCAGCCTGAGAGGTCGATTGCTGGAAGAGGCTAGCACTGCCCTGAGCATTTCTATACTTTCGGATATGACACAGCAGTTACCAATGTTGAGGCTTAAGGTAGAAACTCCCCTAGGACCCAAAAAAAGGATTGATTCTGCGCGACATAAAAGCAGTGTCAGCTCATTGCTGAACACTTCAGCTCAGTGTTCTTCCATAATGCAACTCATTATGTGTGCAGACTTCCAATCATCATCCCCATGGAACTTACAGTAATTGGGAACTGAGGCAAACCAACATGAAGCTATGGCTACTGTTTTTGCTGTGGATAATAAATTTGTCATGGTTTCTGTAGCATCCTATAGAACAAAAGGATAACTTGTTAATCTGTAAGCAGGGTAAATTTCAGACCCTACAGTTATTGACAGATAGAAATTCGTTTCTGTCTGGTAACCTGGCATTTTAGGTACTGCAACTGAGCCATTATTAATTTTTTAAATATATTTTTAAAGATCTAGTCAACATCACTAAAAAGATAAAAAGCCCTCTGATTCCTGTGCATTTACGTGTGTGTGTCCATGTCCGGTCACAATTTCACTGTCTGTCTGAAGTACTAACAGTACCAAATCCAATGCTCGGCGCCATGCCTCAATCTTTGGTGTAACAATGTCATAAACTTTTGGAATCTGCTCCAATTTATTTGAAATGTCTGAATTAAAAAGTCCACTAATCAGTTCACTATATTCATTTAAGATGTAAGATGAAGGAGAGCCAGAGTCCATAGCATTTTGTAGATGATGTTGAATGAATGTGGTAGCTTCAAATTCCGATGAGTACTTGGCAGTGTTATACATGAGAGTTGAAAGGTATTTGAGCCATCCATTTGCCAGGCATTTAAGCACAGTTGGTCTGTACAGAGTGAGAGATGAGGCCAGCCAAGAGGAACTATTATGAAGCCATCCTGAACAGACATGGTTTCCTTTTTTCAGAGATTGTTCTTCAATAGTTTGAAGATGGCTAAGACACAAAAATTCAACTGCACCACCTCCAAGGAAGAGCTTTTGCTCTTTTAGAGCATAATACAGACGGTAAGCACAAGTCCAGAATCTATCTTCTTTGGTTTGCATCTGTGCAGTGACTGGCCCAGTGAGTACTGCTGTAACCAAATTCACACCTTCCGTTTTTAAAGAGATCACTATTTTATTTTTCTTCTCTGTGACTTCCAAGGGAATACTTCTCCAGAAGCTCACATAGACTCCATGGCCCACACAGTCTTCATTCACCTGTGTAACATAGGTCACTTGTATTGCTCCTGTAGCCTCTGCAAAAGCCTGCATCACATTGCCATTCACTGACCCGATTACCAACCGTTTACTACACAGGCATTTTTCAATTAAGTGTTCAGATACCCTTCCTTGTGCCAGGACAAGATGCACATTGAATTGGATTAAAAGCTGTAATATATGACTTGCCCACAGCTCTTCTGCACTGTATTGGTTAACCTTGAGGTTTTCAAATACTGTTTTAATATTTGCAGACTTATTAAATCCCAGGTGGCGATAATTCTCTGTAAGGTCACCTTGAATGAGAACTACCCGCACAGGCTGATTCTGGAGTTCCTTGATCAGAGTGATATTAGATATTGATACAAGAGTAATATATCCAGGACAGACACAAGTCAAAGTTTCAGGTACACCTGGCAAACAGCAAGTGAAGATTCTTGAAATGTCAAACATAAATGGCATGGTACCGCCATCTTGTTGCATCCCTGCATTTCGATACTGTAGTCGTACTGCTGCTTCTACTAAGTTCATGCTGCTGTGATCACCGTGACTCAAGCCTATTGCCAATTCTGACAAATCATTACAACTGTATGTTTTGGAAGGAGCTGTGCTTGGTTGTTCTAGAAATCCATCTGGCTTATTTATCAATGGATTATTTTCTGTGCTATTAAAATGCCTACTGTGAATTAGTATTGACTTTCTGCTGCTGGAGTCTGCGAGCGGACTGTGTATCAGAGTTTGTGATGTGTTTTTGTACACTTCAACCTTAGCCTGAGGTCTGAAGGATTTACATAATTTAACAGGTTTCCTAGAGAGACTGTAAATGGTCACTGATTGAGAGACATCTTTGGGTTCTTGCTCTTTCTGAATCAAACCAGTATCTGAAGGGATTTGTAAGAAAGGGTGCAAATTGACACAAAATGCTTCAAGTCCAGAAGATGTATTTGTGTTGTCTATATGGTCAATTTGATTATGGATAGGTACTTGAAGGGAAACGACTACTTCAGTGCAAGAGTTCAAGCCTTCTGACATTACTGATACTATGACGGAAATTGGGATACCCAGATGAAGACATTCTTCAGCAGCACTGCTCCAGGCACCAACAAAAAACAAAAGAGTATTGATTCCAGTTCTGTATGTGCTATGCTGTGCTTGAAGTACTTCATTGAGAAGTTGTCCCACTGCACTAGTTAAATCCAAACTTTCCAGAAGCCTTACCGGTGAACCGATAAATACACTCTCATTGGACTCTTCATCTGTGATAAATTTGGATGCTTTTACTGGGCCTAGGAAAGTTCGTCCCATTTCTGCAAACGATGAAAGCTGTTGAAGTCCCATGTGCCTTCTCTTGTTTATGATCCTGCAAGTCATCCCCATAAATCATCATCTGCAAAACAACAAAAACCTGGAACTTTAGTGTGCTTTATGGTTAGAGATGTTACACAGAAATAAAAATCATCTATACTCCCTGACTTGGAGGCGTTTCTGGCATATATACTTTTTATGCAATGTGAGCAGTGCTATGACAGAATGATGATATGGAAGCATAGGGGAGGAACACCATCCTAATCCTAGGCTACGCTCACCAGAGAAGCAAAACCAGCGAAGCACGTATACACATATATAGATTTATGTAAAGGAAATGGCTCGTGTAATTGTTGCTGTTGTTAAGTGCCGTCAAGTTGGCTCTGACTCACAGCGACCCAGTATAAGGTTTCCAAGGAGCAGCTAGTGAGTTTCAACTGCTGACCTTGAGGGTCAAATAAACTTTGCTGTCCAGCACATTATCCTACAGCACCACACCAGGACTCGTAATTGTGGTGGTTGGTAAGTCCTAAATCCATGGGTCAGGCAGTAGGCTGGTGGCTTCACCTGACTCATGTGACTGCAGGGGTGGATTAACCCAAAATCTGTAAGCCAGGTGGCAAGCTGAGGGTTTCTCATGTTCCAAGAGCATGAGGTCAGAGGATGACATGATGAATGTAAGAACAGAAAGAAAGCGTAAACTTTGCTAGAACATCTCTACCTACCTAACCTACTGCGATAGTTCAGGTTTTGTGTCAACTAGACTGGGTCAGGATTCCCAGTGGTTTGGCAAGTGAGATGTGGTTATCCCTATGGTGAAATCTCATACAGGCACAGTTAATTCTATGATCACTGGCTACGGGCAGTTAGTTGATCAATTAAAAGGATGTTTCCTTGGAGGTGTGGTCTGCTCCCAATATAATGGACATGTAGGAAAAATTTACTCTCTTTTTCCACTGGAGACTTGAGAGCCATTTCCTTGAAATAAACTTCTCTTTATATATATACAGATGTAAGTTTCACTGCATTGAGGAGACCTACCTAAGACACCTACTTACCTATCTATTTGGGATGCAGGCCACATTTCCAGGAACCTCTCTTTCCAATTGCTGCTACTCGTATCAGGTCACAAAATGGACGATAATTACGTAATGTCTACCAACCCCCTGAGAATCATGGCCTAGCTAGGTTGACACATAACATTAACCACTGTTATTGTTGCTAAGCGCTACAAGTATTTATTGTAATAGGGGAAGTGCATGCAGGCAGTATGTTTTCAGAAGATAGCAATCTTTGAGTTGGATCTTGAATAACTTGAAAGAGTTAGCATATTGAAGGGGTAATAGTACATGCACATACATGTCCTGGGGTGGTGCTACAAGGTAAGCACTGGACCACAAGATCAGTTTGAACTGCAAGTTTGGTGATTCAAACCCACCAACCATTCCTCGGGAACCCTATACAGTCAGAACTGGCTCAACAGCACTTAAGAACACCAATGAGGTAATACAAGTAGTTGGTTTTATAGGAATATAAAGGATGCAATAAAGAATGGTAGGTGATGAAGCTCTAGAGGAAAAGTCAAACCCTGGAGGATATTATGTGCCATGTCAAGGAGTTTAGATCGGATCCTACACTGGGAAACACTGAAGTGTTTTAAGGAAGGATGCAATATGGTTAGATTAAGATACGGCTTGATGTAGTGTTTGAAGGTTGCACTTTGAATCTAGAAGTCTGGGTTTGAACTTTACTGTTTTACTAGTTGTATAGCTTCAGCAAACTATTTAACTACTCCTCAGTTTCCTCATTTGAAAAATGGAGATAATAATAGAACCTACTTCATGGGTTATTACGAGGAATAAATTGTTTAGAATGGTACCTGGAACATAGTGTTTTGATAGTGGTAGCTCTAGTAACAATAACAACATTGTGTTTGGGACATATTACCACTTTGATAATAATTTAGAGTACTGATTAGACAAGTACTGGAGGAAGAGAGACCAGCCATGAATCTTCTGTAGGTATCTAGGTGAGAAATGCTGACGAGGAATGGAGGGAAAAGGATGGATTTGGCTATAGATTAGATTATGAAGGTAAAAAACAAGGTATTATTTTAAGGGAAGCTCAAGAGTAATTGGACTTATTCTGTGCAATATTTCAGGATACACATCTAACACAGACAGAAAGAAGTTATAAAGAAAGGCTTTAGCCTAAATGAAAATACCAAACAAACACTTTAAAACAAGATGCCTCTTAATTGGCTAAGCTGTCTATAATAAAATCACCTGTCTTGTGAGATGACCTAAGAGAAGCTTATGTCATCTCTAATTTTATTTCCCAGTATTCTAACTCAGTTAGAGGTCTCAGAATATTGGAGATACATTTATAGATGACATAAACATCTCTTTGCAATCTGAGACTTTATCATTCTTTGAGTAATATTTTTTATCACAATATTTAAAATACTAAACATCAAAAAGGAAACAACTTTTAGATTACTGATGTTCCTCTAACACTAGTCACAACATAGGTAAATCTGTACCTCCTAATTCCTCCTTAAAGATGAAGAGCATCATGGTTCACTAGCAAGAAGCTAATGTGACTACTCAAGAGTAGCTTTCTGCAAGGTTTAGTGGCCTAAGGAGAAAAATTAGTACAGCATAGTACAACTGAGTATAAAACATAAGGATGATTTTGTTCATCTTATACTCAACACTCAATTCCTTTCTATCTCACCTAGTAATTGACATAGAGCAATGACAAATGTTGTTGCTGTTCAGTGTCATCAAGTCAATCCGAACTCATAGCAACCCTATGCACCACAGAACAAAACACTTCCTGGTCCTGCTCCATCCTCACAATTGTTGTTATGTTTGAGCTCGTTATTGCTGTCAACCTGAGGGGTTCATTTTCCAAAACTGCATCAGACAGTGTTCTCCTGCTATTTATAAGGCTAACCATTCAGAAGTGGGCTGCCTCACCTTCTTCTTAGTCTGTCTTAGTCTGAAAGCTCTGCTGAAATCTGCCCACCATGAATGACCCTTCTTGTAATTGAAACACTGATGGCACAGCTTCCAGCATCTTACAGTAACACACAAGCCACCACAGTACAACAAACTGACAGATATATGGTGGGTATCACACACAAAGCATTAAATCAATTTAGTGGATTCCAAAGTGCCAGGGGGTTTACTATTTTCCTAGATTATTACTATTATTCTATAGTGAAATCAGATAAGTAGCAGTTATTTTTCAAGACTTTAAACTCAAAACCCGGAAAATGGAATCTGAGTTTATCATTAAAACCCCATTTAAACTATAAATTAATATCCCAAATATCAAGAGCTTAAATTATAGACTGATGAAAAAGTAGTTTAACATACTGCTTAGCCTTTTAATTGTCAAGAGATCAATCTTGATTCAGGAGAACAAGGGACAGCCTAGAATTTGGAATTAGAGAATAAAAAATTTCAAAGGGCAGCTCAAGAAGATAAAGTATTATAACGAAATGGGCAAAGACCTGAAGTTAGAAAACTAAAACTGAAGAACAAGTTCAGCATTTCTAAAGCTGAAAGAACTGAAGAAAATATGCCTCAACTTGTAATATTGAAGGATTCTGTGGGCTAAATATTGAATGATACATGAAGCATCAATAGAAGATGGAAGTAACAGTTACTGTTTCCAAAAAAACAAAACTAGTCAATGTTCAACTGCTTCAGGAGGTAGTTAATAATCAATAACTGATGATATTGAAGGAAGACGTCCAAGCTGCACTGATGGTACTAGCAATGAACAAGGCTCCAGGACCTGACGAAATACCAACTAAAATGTTTCAACAAACTGATGTTGCACTGGAAGGGCTCACTAGTCAGTGCCAAGAAATCTGAAGGACAGTTACCTGGCCAACTGAATGGAAGAGATCCGTTTTTTGTTTCCATTCCAAACAGAAGTGACCTTACAGAATGTGGAAATTATCAAATAAAATCATTAATAGCAGATTTGCTGAAGATAATCCAAAAAAGAATCTAGCAGTATGTCAATAAGGAACTGTCAGATATTCAAGGTGAATTCAGAAGAGAATGTGGAATGACGGATTTCATTGCTGATGTAAGATCTTGGCTGAAAGCAGAGAACACTAGAAAGATACTTGTGCTTTATTGACTATGCAAAGGTATTTGACTGTGTGAATCACAGCAAACAATGGATAATGTTGCATAGAATGGGAATTCTAGAACACTCAATTGTGCTCGTACACAGTCTGTATGAAGACCAAGAGGCAGATACTAGAACAGAAAAAGGGAATAGTGAGTATGTGCCAGGGTTGTATCCTTTCACTACACTTATTCAATCTGTATTCTGAACAGTTTGAGAAACTGGACAACATGAAGAAGAATGTGGCATCAGGATTGGAGGAAGGCTCATTAACAATCTGCGATATGTAAATGATACAACCTTGATTACTCAAAGTGAAGAGGACTTGAAGCAATGACTGATACAGATCATACATTACAGCCTTCATTATGAATTACAACTGCAAAGAAAACATAAATCTTCACACCTAGACCAATAAGCAGCATCATGATAAACCGACCCAGAAAAGATTGAAGCTGTACAGGATTTCATTTTCCTTGACTCCACAATCAACACTTATGGAAGTAGCACTCAAGAAATCAAATGATGTTTTACATTGGGCAGATCTGTTTCCAAAGACCTCTTTAAAGTGTTCAAGACCAACGATGCCAGTTTCAGGACTAAGGTGAGCCTGACCCAAGCGATGGTATTTTCATTTGCCTCATATGCTATGAAAACTGAACCGTTAACAAAGAGGACAGTACCATAATCGAGGTATTTGAATTAGGGTGTTGGTAAATGTGGGAATGAGTATCTTTCCTTCAAAAATTATTATAATCCTGTTTATTGTATTCGGGTGACCTTTCTTTTTTTCTTTTGCTACTTCCCAAACTTAGTAAAGACTTTATGATCTCTCTTTTTCTTTGACTACTTCCTGAAGTGAGTACGGACTGTATGAACTCTCTTCTACTTTTGACTATTCCTGAAGTGGGAATGCATGC